ATTTTAGACGTCATAAACCCACCTGTTATATTGTCAAGTTAAACTTCAGAAAGGTAGATATGCATTTTAGGTATTGTGTCATCTGCGTATTAAATGTAATCTTAAAAATTCTTTGAAACATTATAAAATATTATTTTTCAAGACCAATTTTCAAAATTGTAATATATGAAACAAAAATATTGTTCGTTGAAGTACGACGGTAAAAAAAAAATGATTATGTTTACTAGAATAAAATACAAAGAAAACGTATTTTGAAAGTATTTACTTATTAAAAAGTATTTAAATATAAGTATTCGAATACTTAACAAGACTGTAGTGGCCACTGACCACTGTGTTTTCGGGGTGTTATAAATTGTGTTCCATTTGAAATTTGTATGTAAATTGCAACCCGTGTAAATTGTATACATAATAATATTGGAATGGTGGCCCGCAGGTATATTTTCTATATTCTGTGAAAATTGTAGCCTCAAATAGTTTTATTTCATAAATAAGTTGGGTCTATAGCAGGTTAGGTTAGGAGGGATGGGCAACTCAATGCTACTAGAGGACCAATTTTGAAAAATTTAGTGGGCCATAGAACATAGAAAGCAAAAAAAACCTTATGTTAACTATACCCCTATAAATAATAATATAATATTATTTACATTTAACAGTTCGATACTAGATAAAAGTGTATACCTACATTACATCGATTTTAATAATTTTATAAATATAATAAAAAAAAATACAGAAAAATCATCTTAACGTTTCATATTTTTATAAATTGAAATGCAGAACGGGCCAGTGAAAATGGTACACGGGACGGCAGTGGCCAATCTCTGGTCTATAGGGATATTTTTGCGATATTTTCCTTCCAATTTTATAGACTTAAGACTGCTACAATATAATCGTATTAATATTGGTACGGTTAAAACTATTGGGTTGGTTGTTTATGCGATTAAAATTTGTAATAAAAAATGCCATGTCGTGACAACAATTACATGTCAAAAACGTCGTGTAATTAAAAAAGAGAATTGTGTGAAATGTGAATGAATTTTAATTAATGTCACGTCTCGATAAGTCCAAGTTTCAATACCAGCATTTTGTAATATTCACGATTGTATAGATGCCCCTGCAGTGAACACGTCGTCGACGGCTTTTCGTTTTAAACTATATTGTTGAGTATCCGTCGATCTATTTGCTGTTTTGATATTTCCGAACGATTACTGTACACGAGCTCATATAGGCGCAGCTAGAGACCAAACACTGGGGGTGCTAAAATTCTGTAAATAACACAAGCCCCCCACCCCCAAATACCATTGTAACGTATGTTACATCATTACGTTTATTTTATAAGCATCATAATATGCACATTAGGCATATTATTCGCTGACTATAATAATACATTAAGCCCCTCCGGTTTAGGTGACACATATATATTTTATGATTGTAAGGCTCCGGCCAATATCCCTATGTAAGAGAATGGCAGTTCTCCGTGAGTCCATCACGTGCACCTGAACTCCGTACAATCCTACATTTTTGGTAACTTTGTTCGTAAATTGTAAGTTATAATAAATAATTTGTTTGTATTAATAATAATTTAGATCAATCGTTATTTATTTGTAATATTAAGATCCTAATACCATTCGTGCTCCCGAGCTACGGTAAAAATATATTCAAAAGAATTAATTTCTTCCTTGAATATCTTATATTTAACGGGTCATCCCCGACCACGTTACACCATTCTTCAAATTTTATAATCACTATAATTATTCCTAAATGCACCGTAAACACACAAGGACACTAATATTTAAGTAAATCAACAGTAATATACCTGATAAATACACAAGGTATATTATATTATTTAGGTGATAAAAATAGTAACATGAAAGTATAAACGGTTAAAAAGAAATGTGGTCAAGTGGGTACCGCTTTGCTGTACAGTAGTTGTTGAGCATGTAGTTATAATGGATGTGTTATACATTTGAATTAGATTTGAAAAATTTTCTCATATCTACAAATAGTTCATGAAGAGTCAAAATTGTTTGAAGAATTTACGATGTTTTAGAATTTACGAGAAAATGCTAATATAAATACTTGGTGAACATTTCAAGAGGCTACGGTTATTCATTTTGGAAATACAACAGAATCTAAAAAATCGATTAATGGGAATTCGATTTACCGCTGAATATCGAATATCGTAACAATTATAAGTTCAAGCACTCATAAAAAATTAAAGTTCCGTTTAAGTATACGTTTTTTTTTATAGGTAGAAAATCTTATGTGAAATCTTGTATTAACATTTTTAATCTTAGTCATGAAAAGAAAATCTTTTATGAATTTCTAACTGAAAAATAATTAAAAACATTTGAAAAATTTCTCATGTTATAGATAGCTCAAAAAGACTCAAAATTGTTTTAATATTTTACCATGTAAGGAAAATTTTAATTTTAATATTTGGTAAAAATTTCAAGTATTTAGGATTATTCGTTTTTAAATTACAACAAAATATCAAAAATTGATAGAGGAAAATTTGTTAATTGATGAAAAATACTGATGAAAATTGAAAATTGAATGTTGTACCCATTTTAGATTCAAACGCTCATAAAAAATGTTAGTATTACTTTCCAGTAAACTATTTTTTTTATATAAGGTAGGACCAATATTGTGAGGAAAAATATTTTTTTTATCAATATTTGTTATAATGTTAGCTATGAAAGGAAAAACGTTTATACATATCTAACTGAAATTTTGATGAATTCTAAATTGTAATATTTGATATACCTATATAATCATTATAAACAATAATTTGTGTTTCTGCTAAAAACGAAGAAATAAAAAAAACCCTTACATAAAGTTAAAAAACTATTTTTTTCATATGATTTTTCAATTATTGGTGTTCTTGAAGTTGAAGAAGAAGAACTGGGGTTGCTGAAGCACCCCCGAGTACCCCTCTAGTTCCGCCTATGCACGAGCTACGATCAAAATATGCATACTGGCTGCTGCTAATAATATTATTCCTACGATAATATTATATTTATCTACATCGTATAATATGGATTATTACTGATATTATTTAAATATTGTTTTGCCGGCTGGAAATAAACGGAATATCCCGGCACGCAATATCTATACGTACGATTCAAAAATTCCAGGGCCGCAATTTTCAAAGTGTCTATATATTATATACATAACAGCGACCTTTTTTTTTTGGGAAGAAGCAATTTATACCGACTCCGACGGTATTTTCCGATCGGGCCGTTTTTCGATATTATATAAGTTTTCAAGCAGACGATGGTCGTATAGTCTATAAATACGAAAAATCTACAATTCGCAAAATATATCATACACATATGTATATAAATAGCATACAACTACGACTTCTTTGTCTATTTCGTGTGGAATTTATTTTTTTAATAATATGTTTGAAATGTAGGTATAGTGATTTTTTTTTTTTAATATATATTATATACTTCATTTATATTTTCTAATTCTTATCGGGCCGGGGCTCTTATTAACTTATTTGATTTTGCTTTTGACACATATTATACGCTTTGCAGCTGCCAGTATATATTATCATGTTCAACGAACAAAGCTTTAAATCTGTCTTTTGCTTTTATTGTCACCGCATCACATTTTGAACATTCTTCCGGCGCAAGGAATACGATTTTATTATAAAAATCTGTTGTCAGCGTTTTCCGATTTTCGTGTGAATAACTGTTATTATCGTTAAAAGTGGAACGATAAACATTTTCACACAGTATTCTAATTGTAATAAATTTAAATGTAATAATACACCGAGAGAATTATTTTTATCTCGTGACACGCTATCATAAGTCAGAGAAACAATTATACTCACATGAATTAGAAAAATGTTATTAGACCGTTACAATATATTATTATTATTTGATCGAATTAATTTCTACCTATGTATATTGTATATGATTAATTACAACTGGTAGTCGTACAATTCAAACCAAACATTATTATTTATATTGCCAAAAATGAAATTTGTGAAAATATGTACCTATCATATTTCATTAAAATAATAGATCTTGATTGTAAGATGATTATAATGTTTCATGAAAATTAAGAACTTTATTATCATTTCGAATAGCTTAACGTTTACTTAATTATGTATTTACTTTAATTTTGTTTATGACTCTTGTAATTTTAAGTCAATTTTTACTCGTGAATTCATATTTATATGATGAATACTTGATATAATATGTTATTTATACCAGGGTTTCCGGACGGAACGCAAAAAAACGGTTAAAGAACATTATTGTTGTTCATGAACCAAAATATAATGGAACGAAACAAAATATTTAATTTAGCTCATTGGTCTTCATATGAAATAACATTATAAACTATTAAGTTTACTGAACTTTTTCATAAAAAACGTTATAATTTTTAAAGTTTTTTAAATAATTGACATGAGGAGCATCATAACCTATTAAGTTCTTTGAACAATTACTAGAAAAACGTTATAACCTATAAAGTTCTTTGAACAATTACTAGAAAAACGTTATAACTTATTAAGTTCTTTGAACAATATTACTAAAAAAACGCTATAACTTATTAAGTTCTTTGAACAATTACACGAAGAACGCAATAAGCTAATATGTTCTTCAAACTTTTAACACATAGAACATCACGAACTTACCCGTTCTTCAAACTTTGAAAATAACGTTATTAATTATCTTTTGACTACTTTTCCGATCATTTATTTTTGACAACATAAAATGTTATAATATGATAATAATATAGATTATAATTTATAGGTAATAAGTTATTATGAGTAATAATATAGTAACATAATACATCAATTAATAATAATGATAAATAAATAATAATAATTTAAACCATGAATGAATAATAATAAATAAATACAATAAATAAATAAATAATAATCAATTTTAACTATAAATGAATAATAATGAATAAATAATATAAAAAAATAAATAATAATCAATGAATACTTTAAATATTATATAAAAATAGGTACCGTAGATTAATATTTAACTTTTATCAAATAAATAGTTTGATCGTACAACCATTATGTCTTCCAGTAAACTGGCGTTCATCCTATTTCGTTGATCATTCAATATGAATTTCAAACTGGAAAAAAGACGTTCCACTGTGACCTATTTAACAAAAAAAAATTAGCTGTAGGTATTATAATATTAGAATGATAATTCATAATTACCTATGTAACATTTAAATATTTATATTTTTTTGGAACTAAAATACGAGTATTACTTAAAATCAAAGATTATAAAATTGTGTAGGACAGATATTCGTAATTCATAGTTTTTATTATATAAATAATTGGCCATTGCTGTAGTTTGTAGTTACCTACCTGAGTAGTTGGTAATGCTAAAGCAACCAAAGCGCATTCATACATCAATGGATACATTTTTTTAAGTCTTGTCCAAATATCCATAATGTTTTTGCTTTTATCTTCCCTAGGAAGTTGCATAAAATTTACAATTTCCCTTTGGATGTCCAACACAACTTGGTCTTGACTACTAATCAAACCACTAATCCGTTCAGCTGCCGCCGTACGAAGTTCAAGCTCTAAGTCATCTACTTCATTGCATTCAATATTATTATTTGAAATAGTTGGCCCTTCTCTAATAACAGGATCAATGTTGTGTAATTCTGAAGACAAGAGTATCAAATGATTTTTAGCTTCTCTTAGTGTATTTTCATCTAATAAAACATTGACACGACCATCCAAAAAAATAGCCAACTTGAAACTATCACAGTTAAATAAAGTAGTTTCTCGTCTTTGCATAGCTTCAACGATACTATTTGAAATAAATGAATCTAAAAAATATAAAATACAATTAATTTATAAAATATAAAAACAACTACTTAGATTTTGTACTTATAAATAAATAATTGAATTAATAGTTACTTATTTTTCTCGTGTGAATAATGCATTTTTTCCAATGAAGTAAACAATCTCCTGGGTATAATTGCTCAGCCTGTAATACACAACTAGTTATTTTAGCTGGTCCAAGAGCAATTTTTAGGTCATTTGTAGATGTCCAAAAATCATTGTCTACGTGTAATCTCGTTTGATGTCTACTAAACACCTGACAAAAATGTTGACATCTTAATACACTTTCTAACATATCAAATGTTGATCCCCATCGAGTTACACAATCAATCACAGGTCGTTTTAAATTCATATTTTTGAGAGCTTCCAAATTTTTTGGTAATCTCAACGTCTTCACCAATTTCCGTGATTGGTTTATAGTTGATTTTATACTTTCTATCTTAAATACATCTAGGATCGATAGTTGTAAAGTGTGAGCAGCACATCGCATACCTCTCAGTACCTCCGATGTATTGACTGCTGCACCCAAATCGTTGATGATTGAAGGAAATGTATCTTGATTATTTTCATGTTCATTTATTATATGATTATCTTCATCAGAACATTCAGAAAAATTATTACTGTTCTCCTCGTCGATTTGAACTTGGTTATCTTCAACGTTGTATTCATTTTCAGACATTTCTTCATTAATGTCGTAGTCTCTATTCATTTCGCGAAGTAATGAAACAGTTTTCAACATATTCGCTCCATTATCTGTTGTAATAGAATAAATAAATGAAGGATCTAAGCTATACTTTTCTAATGTTTTTAAAAGCACACATTTTAAGTTGGTAGATGTAGTTTGATAAACTTCTGTCGTAGCCAGGTTCCTAATAATAATTTTTCCTAAAAATAAAGAGTAAACAAGAATTAAATAAAAAGTTTATAGATATAGGTATTTTAAAATAAATATTACAAATAAAATATTATATGTCTAGCGTCATCTTAGTTATCTAATATACGAGTATAGTATATATATTAAACGTATACATTTATTGTACAGTGGAACCTCGATAAGTCGAAATTCAAGGGAAATGCAATTTTTTCGACTTATCAAGGTTTTCGACTTACTAAGGTTTTCGAGTTATCAAGGTTTTAGAAAAAAAATTCGACTTAAAGAGTTTTAAAAATGTATGTATGTATTAAAGTTTTTAATTATTATGTACTTAGTATATATTATGTATAAACAATGTAAAAAAATGTGATTATACAGATTATTTAAATAAAAAAATTATTACAAAAAAATATAATACTTTATAAAAGATAATTTATTATTTTACTTTGACTTAAAATTTGAAATTTACTATTATCAATTGTATTTTCTATTACATTTAAAGCAGAGTACACTTTATCGTCCACATTACTCAATTGTTCGGTGAATGTCCTTAGCAATATGAGGGCTGCTGTTGCTTGCTTCATTGAAACAATGAAGATTAGATAAAATTATCGGAACGGACAAGCCGATTAGATAAATGTTTATAAAATTATCTGTCATTATCTGTCATATTCGGAGCACAGAATGTTCGAGTTATCTATAGTTTTTTTTTCGAGTAATCGAGGTTTTCGCAAGGGGATGGAATTTTTTTCGACTTATCAAGGTTTTCGACTTATCGAGGTTCGACTTATCGAGGTTCCACTGTATATATATAGGGTAATTATAGGTATTCTATAGACTTATAAAATGCTGAACCTTAAGTATAGGAAAATGTATACGATTGATAGAAAAATAATATTGTAGTGTGCCTTATTAATGCATTTACTAGCTGTGTAATTATTTAATAATAACAAAGGCGATTGTAAGGTGGGATAAATATCTGTTAAAAATGCCCCGGCTGAGACTTCTGCATATGGTCCGCGTGAAGGCAGGTTATTCAGCTAGTAATTAATATATTATTATGATATTTTCTATTTATAACTTGTGGGCACCTACCTTCATGAATAAACTGAACATTTATGCCAAGTATAGTACGGCCGAGTCTAGTTGCAGTGTCCATTTTTATACAAAAAAATTTTTTTTTCATTTGTTCAGTAATAGCTTGACGGACTAAACTTGCCCGAATACAAATATGATTGCGCACAACGTCACCGTTCATAGTAAATCCAAACGAACGAAAAATGGGATCTACTATTTTTCTAAAACCAGAGTCCTCCATAATCTTTAAGGGTCTACCATTAATTGTGACCATTTCAATACAGCCGTCAATCACTGCCCGGCGTTTTATTGACACGTTCGTTGTTTTCTCTGCACTGTGCACCTACAAATGACAACAAATTTTTGTTAATATTTCATTATACTCAAAGATAATCAAAATACAATATAAATTATATATACATATTATAAAAGTATATAGGTAAGCATTATTTAAAAATAATGATGATAACTTAGTATCTTACTCTCTTTTGTGTTGGTGGAAATAAATCAGGTGAATTTGAAGAAATCGATGACATAGTAACGGTATTTGTAGTATCTGTACTAATTTCATCTTCCTCCAATAATATTTGCTGATATTCTAACGTATGAAAGACCTTTAAGTGACGCTTCAAATTACCCAAATGATTACCCTTAAAATATTATTACATATATTAATATTTTTTTTTTTGTTACATTGTTTTTAAAACATGGATATTGGATATACGTGAATTAAAAAAAAAAAATTCAAATCGAGGGTTAACTAAGGTGTACTTGCCACTTGACCTTTGAGTCACACCCGTTTTCATATATAGTATATATGTAAATTTTAAGACTTATTAATATGTTACCTATTTAATTGAAACTTACTGCTAATATTTTATTGCAATTTTGAATTTTGCATGTAGATTTATTCGCATTTTCACCTTCAGAGTGATATTTGAAGTACCGTCTGACTGGATCATCACAATTCATAATTTTTGGCATAGTTATTAATGTTGTTATAGTTTATTATATAATAAGTAATACCTAATATATATTAATTTAGGAAAATACTTAATAATTGAAGCACACACTCACGATGTCATTAAAACACTAAAACAGTTTCATGTAAAAACGACATTTGGCTGTTAGGTAGATTACAAAACGTAATGAAATACGTATAATAGAATCATACAATTTAAAACCAGTTTTAATATTGATTATCTGTATATTATACTATCCATTTAGCAAGTATAGATAGAAAACGTATTATAAAGTGTATAACTCATTTATTGATTGTAGACTAGACACATAATATCATTAATTTTAATTACCTAGTCTATTGTAAAAACTATCGAATATTTTGACTTTTGAAATTCCAATAAAGTTTGATATATATATATATATATATATATAAACGAATGTCTATCATGATAGCGATAAGCCGATAGGTATAATATATATTATCTAAAACGTCAGGAGAACGTAAAACAAACACTTAAAAGTGGCCTGGTGTAACGCAGTGTAAGGCTTTAATCACAAACATGTTCTGGGATTTTGGCCGGTGTCACTAGTTCCCGGATGGGTGACCATACGAGTTTTAGTGTCAAATCCTAGCCACGCGTACACGTGTTCAAACAACATAACTTTCCACTACAGTAACTGGCTAATGGACACAGTTATCAAAGCCTTAACTCAAAAAAAAAAATATATTCAATATATTTAAAAATCTAAAACATTTTTAACAATATTTAGTTTTTACAAAACTTTGAAGAGGATAAACAATGTAAATCGTAATTAAAGGGTACCTACTGAAGTACTTAAATGGTATAAAGCTAAGTAATATGAAATTATAGGCGTCTCCGTCTCACAGACGTTAACATATAAAAATTCAACAAATTGGAACATACTACTCTTAAACGTTCTTCTGATTAAATACTGAAGAACGTACAACTTTAAAGCGTTTGAGAACATATTACTGTACAACGTTCTTCTGATTAAATGTTCAAGAACGTATTATTTCAAAACGTTCTTCTCATTAAATGTTCAAGAACGTATTATTTCAAAACGTTCTTCTCGTTAAAAATGTTCAAGAACGTATTATTTCAAAACGTTCTTTTGATTAAATGTACAAGAACGAATAATTTAACAACGTTTATTAGGTTCATCATTCAAGAACTTTAAATTTTTTACAGTTTTTAGGCGAAATTTTCAAAAAAACATAAACAATTTTAACGTTTTCTAGTAAAATGTTCGGTGAACCATTTAATTTATAACGTTAAATCTTTAACCGTTTGTTGAACATAGGTTGATTTAACGTTTATTGCAAATAAAGTTCAAAAACAAATTATGGAACCGAACCAAAAATTAACGGTTAAAGTCACCCTGATTTATACATATGATTTGTAAAGCTTTCAATGTCAATGGGTTATCGGTTATCACTTATAAGCCTACTTTTGCTTGAACACAAGTTGTAATAGGTAACTTAAATATTATAACTTTGATATTTAAAACTTTTACGATTTTCGGATTAATTCTATTTTGTAAAAAAGAAAAATGAAAATATTGCATTGGTATTCTATTCGTAGAGCGATTATGATAAATGTTTTAAAACATAAGTAGGTATTTTTTATTAGAAAGAAAAATATTACACTATGTACTTACATATTTTTGAATTTTTGTGCTTGTCTAAAAATAATTATATTACATACAATTATAAAATATTATAAAGGTATCATAGTTATTACTTATTGAGAATAATGTATTTTAACGATACCGTAGAATTAGAATTTTTTGTTAAAGTTTTCATTTAGTAAAATTCTGAAATTTCTAAGCGGTATTATATTCCTAAAATATATGATTATTAATTAACACATCAGTTAAGATACACTGAATGATAAACATATATCATAACATATTTAATTTTATCACATTTAATGGGTTATGATTTCCCTTTTTTTTCCTTAATTAATTATTTTAGATTTTGAGCGGAGCGAGGAAGCTAGTGGTTTTACAATGGTGTTTATTTTTTATATCCTGTATATAAAATTTCTACCAGAAGAAGTTCTTCGATTTCAAAATATAGTACTTTATCTTTTAGCAAATTGGATCAGGATGGTACTTATTAGAGAGGTCATTTTTCGATTTTATCAATAGTTATTTAATGCCACGGTAAAAACTACCGAAAAATTATGAAAAACCAATAAAAATTGTATTTTAATTTCTAACGCTTTGCTTATTACCATGATAGAAACGAATAAAAATTAAAAATATCATAATATTAATGCAACTTAGAGTATATAATACATAACAAAATAAAATATCCAGACTGACAAACCGTCTCCGCTCAGAATTGTTTTTCTTATACAATGATATTATATCATTGAATTCAAGTTTAATACAATCCATTATAAAATGACCCACTTGTAAACTATTGTACAGCAGAGCGACGTCCACTTACCCGCTTTTTTGATATATTTTATTGTAGGCTATTAGATAATGTAAAAATATTTAACTTTTAAAGCACGCAAAATGAAATATTTTATATAAATTGTATTGGTTTCTAATAATAATATAAAGATATTACACCTATCTAAAATTTTTATACACACGTTTAGGTTCCGCCATTAGTTTATACAAGTTTCATAATACAATATATTATAGTAAAAGAGTCATAGTAATATTTGTTGAGTTTGATTAAAAAAATTATTTACAATTCATACTGCAGTGTATATTAAGTGAATTTTGTAGGTAACACAATAATGTGCAGGGAAAAAATTAAAACCAACAATAATGCGCATACCCTCGACCAGGAATTTAATTTAGTTATTATTGTTTATTTTGTTCTATTTATGTATTTTTTTTTATCTTTGTACCTATACTAGGATAATTTCTTATGAGTCTTATATGGAAATTACTGGGTAGTGATATGGATAAAAGGTGTTTGATTAGTGGATATTATGTGAGCTTGAAATAGTATAGAATTTGGAATAATATAAATTAGGTAGCTATATAGTTGATCAAGGGTATGCCGTTTTAAGTCTCAATGAAGGTTTTTGATGGTTAAATACCAAGGAGAGGAGGTTATTTCTTGCAAGCTGCAGATTGACTAAAACGCCCTAACAGCATTTTAGTATAATAGGTCCTTGCTGTGTTACATTGCATTATGTCCAGACTAGTCGAATTCTCGACTGTATATATTATGGTAGGTTTATTGGATAGAGAGAGTTTAAATTTCAAGAGTTTTTCAGGAGGTGCAATCTTATTTCTTAACTAGTTTCAGGTGCGTGCTCCAAGTGAGTTTGGTAACTATCCAGAGTTAGATCAAGATATTTAAATTTTTATCAGGTGACTATAGATACAATAGGTATATTTGAAACTTTTCAAATAAATAAAATCGGTTTTTTGTCACTCGATATTCATATTAATATACCCTAATCCAGCCTTAGGAGAGGTTTGTAGTGGTCAATAGTGGTGTGGTGAATTTTTTTTTTACCTTCGAGGTTAACGAAATTTTAAACACTCACCACAAATAATAATTTATAATAAATTATTGCATGTATTTACTGCAAAACAATTTGTAAGTTTTCCTGAACAACAAACACTCGTAAAAAAATTATTGTGGCTTTTCGTTAAAGTTTATTTTCAAACCCAGCAAGAAAAACTTACGAGGGAACCTTATATTACATTTTCAGACTTTTTCACTGGAAAACAAACATTTTAAAACATAAAAAGAAACTAAAAAAAAATTGCTTATATGTAAATATCATAACAAAAAGCTCAAATAGAGGCAAAATATTTTTAATATTATAGAATGTCTAGAAAATGATAATAATTGATTGAAAAATTATTTCTAAACGGTTATTAGTTATAGTTCTGAATTACGAGAAAAATCAAATTGATTTTTTCAAAAACCGGTGTTGCGTGAATATTACCAGAGGTTTTCCACAAGTTTTTTTAAGTAGGTAAGTTATTAAGTAGCTTACTACGAAATGTAGGTACCCGAGTAACGTGGTATTTCAATTTTAAACTATTTTTCTTTAGTTTACATAAAAAGTACTACTAAAAACCGCTTTTAAATGATCGGTGAAAATATTATTCAATGTTTTATTTAATATTTTAATTATTTAAGTAAAAAAATACTACATATAATACAGTATTATAGGAACCTACGACCTACCTATATATGTTAAGTCTTAAAGACTACTGAAATAGTACATAAGCGGGTACTTAAGTTATTGTTGTTACACTTGTAAGAACACTTAAAATGAGTGGTCAATGGATATTTTAAATACAGTAAGAACAATTTACCTGGAAAAATATCCTTTGTAAAATTTACCGGGGAAATTTATGGAGTTCAAATATCTAAGTATATATTATAAAGAAAACTATTTTTGATTACCTACTTTAAAATACGTAGATATATATGATAGTAATTGTTCGTCTAGCAGGCCGGCTATAAACATAATAAACTCGTGCCAAAGTGTGTCTCGCTTCATCCCTTGCTCCGTGTATTGCAATACCAATAACTTACTTATCATCGGTAAAGTAAAATAATATATTGCAATAATATTTTACGTCAACAATGCTAAATATATTAGATATACTCTTTGTAATTATAAGCGTCTTGCCTAATTTGACGTCAAAAACTCTCGCATCCTCTCTCCACCATTCGGTATTAATCGGTCACTATAATAACTACACCTAATCGGAGATGGACTACCTACAGGGTTATGTAGTTGCATACACACGCGTCCCTTACCCTTGGAATAATAATTTGTTGCACGACGAGGCTTTTTTTTTAATATTGTCCTCTCAGGAAAACAATAACCTACCCGGTTTTTTTTTCCAATTACTCATCACGGGCACGTAGTCATTTTGTAATCAGAAGGGAAAAAATCAACCCCCTAGTCCCAACGAAATTTGCGGTTAGTGTACGAGTGAAAGGGTGAATCGAGGTTGTATGTACCTATATACATTATATAGCGTAAAGCGGAAAATGGTTG